ATTCCAAATAACATGCTATTGTCTTCCAATTTTTTAGTAGAGGAAAAAAGAGACCCAGGAAACATAAATGATAGCTTTAGGAGAAACGTACTTGCACCATTTCACTGACAAAATTAAATCCTCCAGGCCCAATAATAGATCCTGCTAGAAGGTATCCAGTTATAACCTGATAAAATATAACACATGTTACATATACATTGAATTGTCCATATCATGAAAATCAGATCACATCCTAGGAATGTTATTCACCATCAAATAGCTTAGGTAAAAGATAATCATACTGGTTGTCCAGCACAGGCGAAGGCAATGCCACCACAAGTTGCAGAGACAATAACGATAACCAAATCTGAGATCAATCTGCCAACTCAAAAAAACGTTAAGTTAATATCCATGCATTTCTTAAGGGACAATTATATGAAATAAAAACATACCTCAAGTCTAGCTGCAGCACTGGATATTTAGACTTGAAGTTAGATATGATAAAGACATTGTCCTGAAAAAGAAGGAAAATAAGAAGTTTCAGCAACCTCTGAACATAAAACAAACATCTGACATAGAATACCAAAAATGATATACTTGTACCTTCCGATCAATCAATGTAGGAGTGTCTTCAGCTCCATTATCACTGTCCAAATTGAAAACATTTTGAAGCTGAAACCTAAATTAGAAGCACAAGTTTTAGGGAAATACACGTTTAATCCACTAGTATGGCCTGAAAGTGAAATGTAATACTCAAGTAAGAAGCATATACTTTTCCTCTTTCGTATCATTTTTCTTTGACTTTACCCTTGCCACAGTCTCCAGAACTGCCTGATTAACAACGTCAATCAATGAGGGCAAAACCAGCGCATGATTGTGACCGTATGCTTTAAGCAGTTTACTTTACTTGTATGAATAGGATCCATAACTCACGTGTTGAGCTCATTAAGTTTTAAGAATAATGGTCACTAGTTAAAATATACCTGCTGCTCTGCTACGCTGTTGTTGAAGCCTCCTGCATCAGTTGCTGAGATGGAAGAGAGAGAAATGTCCTCACATTACTCAAATAGAATATAGAAGGTATCAACATCATAATAGTGAAGCCACCAGCGATATATCTAACATACATCATGCGCATTGACCAACTTTCTCAAACTATTTAAACATTAAAATAAATATGTAAAATACGTGAACAATAGAAGGATAGAAATAACGAATGAGATCGATATGCATTGATCTAAATGACCAAATTGAAAAGCTAAAACCAAACAGGTAGAAAGAAAAATTCATACAGAAATCGTAATTACAGACAAATTCCGTATTAACATCCTCTTACTAAGAGAAGTGAGAAATACGTATCCAAAAGCTACAAAACTGAAACGAACCAGATCAAAAAAACAAACAAACCACATAACTATACAACTGAAGAATTCGTAACCAAAAATTAACGCAAATTGCTAAACCAAACAAATGAAAACCCTAACAAAAAGGAGTGAGCAAACGAGATGTAAGATCTACCAACCTTCATTCTGGTCATTCTCTTTGAACTCATTCTCCAAAGCACGATCAATGATGTCAGCGAAACTACCCTCCTTATTCCTCGGACTGGATACATTACTGGATTGGAGAGTAGCGTTAGCGAGAACCGGGTGATCTGCGTCGGAGAGGGCGAGAGCGGTGGAAGGAAGTGAGAGGAGAAGGAGAGAGATGAAGATGGAAATGCAGTCAGATGAGGAGGAAACCTTCAACATTGCAGGAATGTTGGCGGCTAGTTGCTCACCATGGGAGAGAAATGGAGGTGAAAGGAGAAACACAGGGATTCGGAAGAAGGAGAAATGAAGAAACCAGGAAGAGAGAGAGTGTGGAGGAGAAGACGATAGCGTTGAAGAGAGGGAGTCAGTAGCTAACCATATCAGAGTGAAAGGTCAATGTGTAGTTCTTGAACCGTCGTTGAATAGCGCATCGCCGACTTCTGGAGGTACACTTATAATATATATATATCTATGATGTTTTCAATTATATTACATAAATTTAATTTAATAAATCATAATAATCGAATTAATTTTATTAATTTTAATTTGACAATAATTTGAGTGTATTAATAATTCAAATAAATAATATAAATAATTACAAAAATAAGATAATGAATGGATTTATTTTATTTGAATGTAATAAAATAAATTATAAAATTTGTGAATTTTGGAGTTTGCGTGAATTTAATTTATAAAATGTTAAAAATATTTAATAAATTTATGAATCATAAATTTTCAAAACTTTTTAAAATTGTGTAGAATGAAGTTATTGGGTTAATTATTTTGATCAATTAAAAACAATAAAAAAAAAAATAGACTCCATATAAAATAGATTATAAGGTAGTAAAATAGGATTTTTTTTTTTTTTTTTTCTAATTGGGAGGAAAATAGAATTTAAATCTATAATTAAAATTTCAAATGGAGTAATATTGAGAAAGTCTCGAAGATTAATGGGGACAGTGGAGATCCAGTGGGGATGGGCCCCACCCACGTGGCCAAGTTGAATTGCCACTTGGGATTCTTATAAACGACGTCGGTTAGCCTCATGCGCCGTTTTGGACCCAAGCCCGGATTATTTGGGCTTGGTTCTGTTGTCGGTCTTCAAACTAAAACAAGAGTTAAATTAAAAAATACTTGTGAATTTTTTAAAAAAAATAAAAAAAATCAAACACGTTAAAAAAATATTCATAAACATTTAAAAGTAACATTAAAAGTTTAGAAATAATTTATAAGATACCGAGGGACGATTTTGTCTATATATTATAGATAAAAAAAAAAAATTATTTTCCTATAAAGATAAAGATGGTTGACGCTAATTTAACATTTTAATAAGTATCATTAAAATATAGTATTTATAAAAAAAACTTAACATTACCTGGACACTAAAGAAGAGTTCGACCTAGTGTTTTATTTTTGTGTTAGTTGATCCCGATTCAATATTAGAAATATATTGATTTTTTTCCAATAACCGAGTATTTTTGTCTGTAAATACTGCATATTTGATTCCATCCATAAATTGTACTCCTTGTGAATTCGAGTTGATACGAATACTAGTTTTTACAACGTATAATAGATCATATATGTACATATAAATAGTAATATAATATAGTAATTTACTTATTTGTTACCATGAATCAAGGAGAATCTATGATTTACTGGTTTGTTACCAAATCTATGATTTGATCGTTTGTTACAATATCATCCTCATTACACACATCTATAATACATGAGGTCGTGATTCATCTATGATTTCTTGGTTTGTTACCAAATTTATGATTTCATAGTATACAATATAATTCTCATTACACACATCTATAATACATGAGGTCGTGAGCCATATAGGTCACAGTGCCATAACCTAACATATACCACATCAATTCTTTATGCATGGATGATGAGATTCCAACGACACAGAGCCAATTCTAATAGACAGAGTCTCATTCGATTGCATCTGTTTTTAAAACAAATTACTCCATGTTTTCCTTCAAAATTAAGTGTAAAAATATGTTTAATTTTTTTTTATTTTTAGAATTTAAGGTTATTATTAAAAAGTTTAAAAGTTTTTATTTATTTATTATTATTAGAGAAAATAGGGATGTTTTTTTAATTAATTTAGCCTAAATTAAAATAGTATTTAACCTATAAACATATTTATATATTTGTGCCAACAAAATTATTAGTTTAAGTACATTTCATGAGGCAATTATTTTCGAATAAAGTATTGTTAGTGCTCATTATGGCTAAGAACAAAAATAAATAAAATGGATAGGTGGACCAAGAAACATATTGTAACATGTCATGTCAAATATATTTTTTTTAATTATTTTAATTCATTAAACAACGTTGTCAAAACTCACCTAAAATTTATATTGGAAGGTATAAAAATACATATTTGTGTGATGATTTTTAAAAATTATTATTCATTTAAGGATAAGATTAAAAATATTTTATTCTTTTTTTAATTATAAAAAAAAAGTTTACAAGACTTAAACAAAATATTATAAACAAACAAATAAATAATAATAAAGAAAGAGAATTCGTGGCCACCAGATTAAAATAAAATAATACATATTATTAAAGTATAATCGATTAAATAATAGTCCAATGTTTAAAAAATGAGTTAAATGTTATTTAAATATAATATATGACTATAATTCGGTCTACTATGCTCGAAGTATGTAGGGGAGTTGGGTGGGTTAGATAATTTTTTTGACCGATCCAAAATTTCGAGTTAGTTAAATTGGCCTCAAAAGTAACATAAAGTTCATCATTCAACCCAATGCAATACAATCCTCTATTCTGATTGGTTGAGTCGTGGAGTTATTATTATTTTTATTATTATAAAAAATCTTAGTTAAGCACGTTTCATTAATAACTATTTTTTTTATTAAACTAAATTTAGTAAACTCTACCATTCACTGAGGTCACTGTCCAATATTCTTGAAATTTTATAATAATTATTTAATTAGTTTTTTTTTTCAATCGTTTACCATTTATGATTATGGAAAACTTAAAGGCATTTAGTTAGTTTTGTTGGATAATGAAAGTCCCACGTCTGCTAATTTAGGGAATGATCATTGGTTTATAATAAAAAAATAATCTCTTCATTGGTACGACACATTTTGGGAAGCTCAAAGCAAACCCATGAGAACTTATGCTCAAAGTAGACAATATCATACAATTGTGGAGAGTCATGTTGATCTAACATAGTATCATAGTCATACTTTAAACTTAGTTGTGCTAATAGATTGGTAAATCCTCGATTAAGGGGAGGTGTTGGATGATCCCACACCACCAGTCGTAATTTGGAGGGGTTGGATAATCCCACACCACGGTCTTAATTTTTTAAAATTTTGAAAGGTATTAATAATTTTTTAATAAAAGGTTTAAATATTTTTGAGATTAATATAAATATTTATTTATAACTTTCAAGGTTTAAATATTTTTGAGATTACTATAAATATTTATTTTATTAATTTACTCAAACCCAACAAAAATAGAGCATTAGAGTTGATTTGAGTTTCCAATCAATCTCAAAATTTGGATTGGAATGGTGACTCAACCGTTACCTCTAGTTGCTTTGACTGAAATTAAACGAAGTGATTTATTGTTGTTTTAATGTCATATCATCGAATTCATAGATGGTGAATCGAGAGCTCTATATATGCAGTAGTCAGAGGGGGAAAGGGTCGAGAGTTGACAGAAATGGAAGAATCTATCCAGATCCGGTGACCCATCTAGTTCATCCTCCATCCCTTTCTCTTCTACGTATGCGACACGTAAACTGGGGAAGATTTCGCTGCGATTTCTGTTTTATGAAGGCAAACATGGAGGAAGGAGACGATGGGGAGTAGGCGTTCGTAAATTTTTCTGGAGATTTGAGTATCGACAGCCATGAGTTTATCGGTAAATGCTCGACGCTTTCAGCTCTTTCATATACATATTTGAAACTACCATTAATTTAAGATGGAAGTTCGGTTTCTGGTTTTGTTATTGAACAGAGCTCAAGTTTCTTCACGGTGAGCGAACGGATCTGTGCGGCATTTATACCAATCATTGCGGTTGTAGAGGCCTTGATTTTGACGATGAGCAGGTGCTTTGATTGTTGCCATGAGAGTGAGAAAGGTCGCCGCTGCCTTAGTGAACTTTCTCGGCTTGCTAGTGAAACTAGATGTAAGGGTTTCTCTCTTTCTTTAGGGCGTTTTTTTAACAAATCCTTTTCAATCTAGGAGGCTAGACTGGTGGAGTGATTTGATGTGGGTGTTATACAGTTTCTACCAATGAAGTGGAAGCGCTGTATGAGCTTTTCAAGAAGCTGAGTAGTTCGATTATTGATGATGGATCGATTCACAAGGTAGTGGCTATTGGTTTTCTGGCTTCTTCTTCTGATTTTTCTCATATATTCCATGGATTCATTTGATTGATTCACTATGAGGTTGGTTGGGGAGGAGAACGAAACTTTTTAAAAGGGTGTGGAAACCTCTCCCTAGCAGACGAGCTCAAGTTTCTTCAAGGAAAGCCCAAAGAGGACAATATCGCTTAACAGTGGGCATGGGCGGTTACAAATAGTATCAGAGCGAGACATCGGATGATGTGCCAGCAAAGAGGCTGAGCCTTGAAAAGGGTGAACACAAAATAGTGTGTTAGCAAGGATGCTGGGCCCTGAAAGGAGGTGGATGGGAGAGTCTCACATTCATTGGAGAAGGGAACGAGTGCCAGCAAGAACGCTGGCCCCAGAGTGGGTGGATTGTGAGATCCCACATCGGTTAGGGAGGAGAACGAAAGAGGCTGAGCCCAGAAGGGGTGGACACGAAGCGGTGTGCCAGCAAGGACGCTGGCCCCGAAGGAGGGTGGATTGGAGGGTCCCACATCGATTGTAGAAGGGAACGAGTGCCAGCGAGGACGCTGGACCCCAAAAAGGGGTGGATTGTGAGATCCCACATCGGTTGGGGAGGAGAACGAAACATTCTTTATAAGGATGTGGAAACCTCTCCCTAGTAGACGCGTTTTAAAAACTTATGAGGAGTACATTTCTTTCCATGAATATACCTCAGCATTCTTCAGCATATATCACATATTCACTCCATTCACACTATGAATTTACTTTATGAATAATGCTTTTGAAGCTAATTGGTACCTCACATCATTCTTTCTTGAAAGATGCCATCGTAACAATAATGGAAGCACTACCCATGTTAGTGTAGTGCATGAAATTTCCATTAGCCCGCATAAAGTTCTGAAGCATATTATAAAAGTGTAGTGGAGAATACTGTAAAGTTCTAAATATAAAGTGAATATAGTACACCAGTAAATGACATGTTCAAATGTTTGTATTTTGTTTCTATCCCATGTGGGTTCTGACATGAGATAAATAATCCATTTCACTGGAGCGGGAACGCTCATTAGCAAGACCATCTTGGATTCTTATAACATGCTGGTTTCATACTGTAGGAGGAGCTTCAGCTGGCACTTCTCAGAAGTCCATATGGCGAGAACCTCTTTCTGGATCGGGTAAACGCAATAAATCAAGTGTGTTAAAGCCCTTTTTCTTCATTAAGATTATTTACATCATAGAATGGGAACAAGACACACAATCCAAGTCACTGTCATCATGACCTTTCATGTTTTTCTTAATGTTTGTCACTGTTTCCATTAAGGTTTCTCAATCTTTATACTTCCATGTATAAAAATTTTGTGATGGAATTTATATGTTCAACTAATCCTTATATGTGATTTATTGCTGGTAGAAAGGTTAACTTGGGGTAGTAGAAAGGAATCACATAAAAGTAACATTTAGTCATATATTAAGGTAGAATGGAATCTTGATACCGAGGCATGGAGTTACGGTGAGATCCCACATCGGTTAGAGAGGAAGCATTCTTTATAAGGGTGTGGAAATCTCTCCCTAATAGATGCATTTTAAAATTTTTAAAGGGAAGCCCGAAAGGGAAAGCTTAAAAAGGACAATATCTGCTAGCGGTGAGCATGAGTTGTTACAGTTGCCCTCTTATATGTTCTCTATGATTATGTTCAACAAAATCATTCCATTTCGTTGTGATTATGTTTGTACTTTGTATCTGTATTTCTATCTCTGTAGAATACAATGAATGTATAAAATTACTATACATTGGATGGGAGGTCCTAAATGTTTTTACACAACTAAAAGTCTCTTCCATCCACCAAATGAGAAGAAAAAAAAAAAGTTTTTTGGTCAGAATCAAGAAGGATTTTTCGTTGACAAATTTTATTGACCATGTCATTTTATTGCTCTTTTTCTTTTACTTGACACTTCACTACTTTATGCTTAGGTTTTTGATCTTTTTGATGAAAGAAAAAATGGAGTGATTGAATTTGATGAATTTGTCCATGCTCTTAGCATTTTCCATCCCCATGCACCTACTGAGGAGAAGATTGACTGTAAGTGTAGAAGAGAACGTTTGTTTGGCTCCCTCATCTTGTATATATATTGATTTTTGTCCATGATTTCTTGTAGTTGCGTTTAAACTCTATGATTTGAGGCAAACGGGGTTCATTGAACGTGAAGAAGTGAGTATTAATTGGGTCAAACTGATGTGTAAGCCGAGCTTCAAGGGGTAGAAGATGGTTGTTTTGTTGGTGTCATTTGGGCTTCTGGCTAACTAGGAGTTTTGCTGGATTCAGGTTAAGCAAATGCTTATAGCAATCTTAATGGAATCTGACACGAGGTTATCCGATGAACTTCTCGAAGCAATTCTCGACCAGGTCTCGGTTGAACTTATTGCCATTTTTTTCTTTCTTTCTCAGAACTCTTTGAAGTTTCTAATGGCTTGTAGTACCTGCAGACATTTGCTGATGCTGATGCTGATAAGGATGGAAGAATCAGCAAGGAAGAGTGGAAGGCTTTTGTAAGCAAACATCCATCTCTTTTGAAGAACATGACCCTTCCTTATTTGAAGTAAGTAAATTCTCACGTTGGAATGATTTTTCAAGTGCCTAAAAATACTTGAAAAATCATTTCAAACAAGTCGTTATTTACAAGAACACGAACTATATTTAGTTTTTAATGGTGTTTAATCTTTCAGAGATGTAACGACGATATTTTCCAGTTTTGTTTTCAACACTGAGGTTGAAGATTAAAAATTTCACAGCCACTTTTGCATTGAACTGAAATCACTGGATCTTACTTCATTAGAACTAAGGAAGCATCGATGCGAAGGTATCACTCAGGCCAAAACACTCTGGTTATTCCATCTGTGCATTGTACAGTAGTATCATTTTCCAGGCTTTGTGTATCATTTCTTGCCAGCACTCTACCATTGTTATTCTAGCTAGCTTGTTCATAGCCTAAGAGCTGTGTTAGAATCTGCACATGAATGTATTTCTTGACTTTGATACCGATATCGATATCGACATCGACATCGACATCTTTTTGTATGCTTTTCTAGTTGTAACGAAGTTTTGGTCCTCTTCATACGTGTACAAATTGAGCGCAAAATATATGGTGAGTGAGTGAACAAAATTAATAAAAATCGAGACAATTTGTTTTTTCAGTTCGAGAATGAGGTTCCAGATTAAATTGATGGAATCCCGTTTCTTGGTAAGCAAGATAATTAGTCGTCCGCAAAATCAAACCAACAAATTGCTTCGCCAATTGGGGCTACTTCGTGCGAAATAAAAATGTTGCTTGGAAAGCCATTTGTTTAATGAATTCGATGCTAGGTATGACATTTTTGCTCTTTGTGCGTCAATGACTAATTTTACAATGAAAAATAATGTTTGGTTTTTCAGAATGTGGACGATGCTGAAGGTAATAGTCAGAGAAAGTCCATTCCGGAAAGGTAAGTTTTCCTTCTGGTAGATGATCTGTTGATGTCATGAGTAGGATAAATTTACTGGTTGTTTATGAACGGCTGTTTTTTTGGTGTCTTTGATGCGATGGGATGAGTTGAGGCAAACGAACCATCTCGCCACCGGTTGACTTTCTGGCCTCTGAATTATAGAAGAAACTTGGTTTTCAAAGATACAAGATACAAGTGAGTTTGATTCATTGTTTGTGCATATAGGAGTTGGTTCTTGGTGACAAAGTTAATGTAGATCAACAAATGGCTTATAAATATTTGGAAATCTTTCACAGAAGACGCATTTTAAAACCCTTTAGGGAAAGCTCGGAAGGGGAGGGAAACAAAGAACAAAGCATTGCCTATAAAGATGTGAAAATCTTTCACCAGAGGACGCATTTTAAAACCTTGAGGGAAGGCTCGGAAGAGAAAGCTTGGAAGGGAAAACCCAGAGAGGATAATGTCTACTAGGGATAGACTTGAGTTGTTACAACAAATTGTATCAAAGAAAATATCGGGCGGTGTGCCAACGAGGACGTTGGTCCAAAATGAGAATGGATTGTGAGATCTTACGTCAGTTGAGAAGAGGAACAAAACATTGCTTATAAGGGTGTGAAAATCTTTCACTAGTAGATGCGCTTCAAAACCTCAAAGGAAAGCTCGAAAAAAAAAACCCAAAGAGAACAATATCTACTGTGAGCTTGAGTAGTAACAGAACCAAAAGGAAAAAGAGAAAAGGGAGGTAAGCAACAATTACTACAATGTTGAAGTTGCAATCAGCAACAAATGTTGTATTGCAGCAACTAACTTTCAACGTTTCAGGAAAGTGAAAATGACAAATACCAATATTGGTAATGTATGTACAGTGAAACTAGAGAGGAGAAACAGAGAAAAGTTGTAATATAATTGAGAATCTTCCATGAAGAACTGTGTAGGAAACTAAGCAGTGGCTGCTGCTGCTTCCTCGACAACCTGGTTCGCTGGCTGTAGAGTACAGATCAGGTTGCGATCACCATACACATTGTCGACACGTCCTGAAACCACCGCGAATTCCATTCAGTAACAGAAACAACATTGACATAAACTAGGCAGAGAAGTAAGAACCAAGTAACTTGTATGTACCTGTGGTTGGCCAGAACTTGGAAGCCCTGAGCCAGGAAGCAGGAAAAGCTGCATATTCCCTTGAGTATGGCTTTGTCCATGCATCTCCCATTAGCAGAGATGGCGGATGAGGAGCACCCTGCATCAATACGCAGAGAAAATCCTTGTTAAGGGTCTTATTAGATGAAAATTGGTTAAGTTCTTGAACTCTGGTGAAGAGAACCTCACCTTTAGGACATTGTTGTTGATATCAGCTTTTCCTTTCTCAATCTGGGCAATTTCTTCTCTGATCGAAATAAGGGCGTCACAGAATCTATCCAACTCCGCCTGCAAAACACGTTAGTATTTACTTAGCAGGATGTGAGAAGGAAAAAGGTGTCGGTGTTAGGAAAGGTACCTTGCTTTCACTTTCTGTGGGTTCGATCATGAGTGTGCCAGGGACAGGCCATGACATGGTGGGTGCATGGAAACCATAGTCCATTAGACGTTTAGCAACATCTTCAGGCTCTATTCCAGCAGTTTGCTGCGCCAATTGCACAACAAAAATGACCCAACTTGCAGGATAGAAACTCTAGTAAAACTTTGAAAGAAAAAAAACTACCTTGAAGCCTCTCAAGTCGATGATGAATTCATGGGCAACCGTTCCGTTCACACCACGGAAGAGAACAGGGTAATGTTCCTGCAGGGCAGAGCACAGAATCGGATCGGACATCTATTCTTAAACAATTTACAAGGATTATTGAAGGCATAAAAGGAAGAAACATAAGAATCAGGAACCTCTAAACGTTTAGCCATGTAATTTGCATTCAGAATGGCGATCTTCGATGCGTCGGTTAGCCCCTGGGATCCCATCATGGCTATGTAAGTGTAAGATATAGGGAGAATGAGAGCAGACCCCCATGGTGCAGCAGCTATTGTACCAAGAGGCTGAGCATTGTCAGGAGCAGGTATGCCTCCAGTAGGTACCTTTAGAATTCAACGCCAAATTAAAATCTATTGAAAGTGTTTTTTGTATAGCAATCAAATTGAACTGAGATGTTATACCACAGGATGTGAAGGCAAAAATGGTGCAAGGTGCTTCTTGACACCAATAGGGCCCATGCCAGGGCCACCTCCTCCATGTGGAATGCAGAAGGTTTTGTGGAGATTGAGATGGCAAACATCAGCTCCGATCCAACCCGGGCTTGTTAGACCCACCTGAAGAACACACCCAGAATCTACTGTCAATACACTCCGAATATGAATCGATATCAGAAGTGATAAGATCAGAAGACGACATGACACGTACCTGGGCGTTCATGTTGGCTCCATCCATGTAAACTTGACCACCATTGTCATGAATGATCTTACAAATCTCATCAATGCCTTCTTCATACACTCCATGAGTAGAAGGGTATGTGACCTATAACCATTTCAACCAAACATTCAAGTTTTAGCTCAAATTCTAATTCTCTCCATGAATGTACCATAGAATCTCTTACCATGAGAGCAGAGAGATTCTCCTTGTTGGCTTCTGCAGCCTTCTTCAGCTCCGGAATGTTGATGTTTCCCTTCGAATCGGTTCCGACTGAAACTATCTTCATTCCACACATGGCTGCACTTGCAGGATTCGTCCCGTGTGCCGAGAGCGGAATGATGCAAACATTGCGGTGGTGGTCTCCTCTTGCCTGCAAAATTTAGAGTTAAGTTGATTATTTGCTTATAAGCCATTTCATGTTAGGCAAATTTTATTTTTTCCACTTTTACTATCTTTATTTTAAAGTTTTCCCCTATACTTTAAAATAAAGTTCTTTTATCTTAATGGAAGAAGTAGAAGAACTCTTGATTTTAATTTTAATAATGTCATTACTGCAGATTTAAAATTTTAATTAATTAATTAATCATATAATTACCTTTATAAACAATATCTATGATTAAAGTTATTTTATTTTGGCGTAAAATAAACTTTTGATTAGTTTGAAATTCTGTGTCTATTTCATTCTTAGAATTTCAAAATAACATTTTTAATTTATTTTTATTAGTTTTTAGCAGTTCTAAAAATTTTATATTTAGCTAAAAACTATGATATTTAAACTACAAAAAAAAAAAAAAATATATATATATCATAGTTGAGTTGACTCAATGATAAGTCAAGGGCGATCCAAATATAATCCAAATGAATTGACTCATGGATCAACTCGATCTTCAATATAATGATTTTTAATCAAATTCAATGAATAAATGAATTGAATTAGGTCGAGCCAATCAAAACTAGGTCGAGCTTGAATTGAACTTAGATCGACCTTTGGCCTTTGAGCCTGTTGACGAGGCTCACCTTGAACTCATAGACCACAACAATTGACTTTGTTCAATTAAAAAATTGACTATGGTTTTAAAAACTTCTATCTAGTCGGGATTAGTTTCGATGTTACGTACCATGTGGTAAGCACGAATAACCATGAGGCCAGCATATTCTCCAGCCGCACCAGCATTTGGTTGCAATGAGAACGAATCAAACCCCGTTATCGCACATAACAGGTCTCCCAAATCACTGAACATCTCCTGCAAATTCGAAAACAAGAACACGAATCCAACGTCAACTCAATCTATTTTAAGTGAACACGATGCTTCACTCAGATAACACGTATTTACCTGATACCCCTGAGTCTGCTCAGTAGGAGCAAACGGGTGAAGGTTGGTGAAACCGGGCCATGTTACGGGCATCATCTCTGTCGTTGCGTTCAGCTTCATCGTGCAAGACCCCAACGGAATCATACTGTGGCAAAGCGAAAGGTCCTTCGACTGCAACTTCTGGAGGTACCTCAGCAGTTCATGTTCTGTATGGTACCTGATGCAGAACATAACATATTAGTCAAAGGTTACACAACTTCCTACATGAGTTTATATTCGGATGATTGTGAACGATGCGTACGTGTTAAAGATCGGGTGGGTAAGGTATGAGCTCTCCCTCACTAGCCCTACAGGAATTGCATTCTCGACCTCGGGAGCAAGAGATTCTGCGGTAAATGGAACCTATACGAGAACAAGATATTGTCAGACAAGAAAATAAGAACAATAAAAAGAAAACTTATGAGATCCCATATCGGTTGGAGAGGAGAACGAAACATTTCTTAAAAACGTGTGAAAACCTCTCCCTAGTAGACGTGTTTTAAAACCGTAAGACTGACGGTGATACGTAACGGGCCACAGTGGACTATATTTGCTAGCGGCAAGCTTGGACTATTACAAAACTACAACTCTAGATACAATTCAAATACTTACCGGCTTTCCACCCGAAAAAACCGAAAAAAGATCATCAACATCCTTTAAGGTCGTTGTTTCATCGAAAGCAACGGTGATCTGGAAAGCAATCCATCGATTGTTAATCACACGACATGAAATATTTCCATCAAGTAATCATGCACAATATGGAACTTGGCTTACCGTGTTCTTGTCGACGATTCGAAGATTAATACCCTTCTTGTAAGCAGCATCAGCAATTGCATCAGCATTAGCAACCTTAACCTTTACGGTGTCAAAGAAGGGAAGACCTTGAACTTCGGCTACGCCTAGTTTCTTCAGTCCAACAGCAAAAGCACCAGCAAGGCCATGAACTCGAGTTGCAATGGCCTTGAGGCCTGCTGGTCCATGGTACACGGCGTACATGGCAGCCATGTTCGCAAGCAACGCCTATATAAACGAAAACACATTCGAAGCAGAGCCAACTCAATACATATTTAACAATCGACGTTTCACAAAACGATCATATGAACTATATCATCTATATACCTGAGCAGTACAAATGTTGCTGGTAGCCTTGTCCCTCCTGATATGCTGCTCCCTTGTCTGCATCGCCATACGCAGCGCAGGTTTACCTGACGAATCAACGCTAACACCAATGATTCGTCCTGGCATCATCCTCTTATACTCTTGAGAGGTAGCCAAAAAGGCAGCATGAGGACCACCATACCCCATCGGAACACCAAACCGTTGAGCAGATCCAACGACAATATCTGCCCCCAATTCACCCGGGGGCTTCAACATCGTCAACGCCAAAAGATCGGTAGCCATCACAACCTTAACCCCATTAGCATGAGCATTCTTAATAAACTCCCCATAGTCCAACACCTCCCCTTCAGTACCAGGATATTGAACAAGAACACCACAAACATCCCCCGATTTATAATCGATATCCTTAAGATCTGCAGTCACTACGTTCAGATCGAAACCCGCTGCTCGAGTTATACAAATATCAATCGTTTGCGGGTGACAATTATTTGAAATGATAAACGTTTTCTTCTTCCCTTTCAGAATATTATTACACATTGCCATAGCCTCAGCAGCTGCAGTTCCTTCATCAAGCAATGAGGCATTGGACATAGGGAGACCAGTAAGATCTGTGATTAATGTTTGATAATTAAGCAAAGATTCAAGACGACCCTGAGAAATCTCAGCCTGATATGGCGTGTATTGAGTATACCAAGCAGGATTCTCCATAATATTTCTCAAAATAACAGGAGGAACATAAGTATTATAATACCCCATCCCAATATAAGATTTGAAAATCTTGTTCTTAGCAGCCAAATTCTGCATATGTTCAATCATTTGGCTCTCTGTTAACCCTTCATCGAATTTATTGAATTTCATCGATTGAAGC